CGATCGATTTATTTTCATAAAATATATACCAGTATTTGTTCTGTTCTGTGTAACCTACTCGATTAGAAACGTTTAAAATGATTGAACAATTTTTTTTTCATAATCGACCACGCATATATGTACATCAGTAATAATTCTAAAATAACCGATGTAGGTTCTACTGCTCATTTCTAGTCTATTAGCCAATTTCGCCGTAATAATTCAAGTGAAAAATACCCTCCGATTACTCCACTGGGGACTACAACTGCGATATTTCTTTCTACGATACAGATTTTTTTTAAGAAAGTCATAGAAAGTTTCAAATTGGTAATTTATGTAGGTAAACGCTAGATTTGTATGTATTGAGTATTTACATAGAATGTAACTTGCGTATCATATTATTTTTTACGGTACTGCGTACGCATGTATTTCAGGGTATTTCAGGAAAACCAACGAAATAGACTACTTCTAAAACGCGTATCACGATCACCAGATTTTAAGTTACACCTTCAGGAACACAGCTGTGAAAATCGAATCCAATTTAGTGCAGTAGTTTTTGAGTGATGTCGACACAAACAAACGAACAGATTATTTTTCTAAAAATTATTGCTTTGGCGTCACTCCACTCTATAAATTTTATTAAATATCACTCCTAGATATAAGACAGATGATAAGAAATAAGTTAAATTTGATATAAACACAGGTCATCATCATCATATCAGCCTTTAACTGCCCATTGCTGAACATAAGCTTCCCCCATAAGGGGTGTTTTGTCAGTCGTTGCCACGCTTGGCAGGCGGGTTGGCAACCGCAGTTAGGCCTTTGGGGATGTTTTAAGAGGGACGCTGCTGCCCATCTCTCGATCTTAAGCACCCTTAGTCGCTTAGTCACCTCCTACGACAACCACAGGAAAGGGGCGGCCCATTGTGTACCAGGATCGACACAGCGATAAATACGTAAATATCTACTACGTATATACTTACAGTAATTTAATTTTAATGAATATCTATTATTATATACTGTGCATCGTTCATCATCGGTCATCGCATTACACCTAAGTAATTTTAATAAATTTTATTATAAAAGATACTGTCTTTCAATTTCAATTCTGAATAAAAAGAAAATAGTTTTGAATATTTCTAATTAATAAGTATTATTTAGTTAATTGATTACTACATCAAATTGCAAATGACCTTTTTTATTACTGTTAATATTTATATACACACTGATAATTATTTATTTTTATTATATATTTATTTAGATACAACTAATAATTATTTATATATACACATACATATATTAGTATTGATTAAATTAAAATTTAAGTTTAGTTGCGTTAACTAATGGACTTCCTTCGTAAAACGTAACATAAACAAGAGGCGTAAAACGTAACGTAAAAAATAGCTCAGAAGTGCCAAAAACACTGTATTGACGCCTACAACATTAGACATAATATTAGACATAAAATAAACATAATTCTAGATAAAAAATCTTTTATATATAAAAATCTCGTGTTTGGGTATTTGTGATCGAACTCCTCCGAAACGGCTCGACCGATTCTTATAATATTTTTTATGTATATTTGGTAGGTATAAGAATAGGTCATAAAATATATTTCATACTGCAAGGTGATCAAGGTGTCCCTATCTAGATATTTATATAGCAGAACAACGTTTGCCGAGTCAGCTAGTATTCTATAATATCTAACACAAATATTACTTACATCATTAAAATAAACTTGCTCTAGTCTTTGCCTTGTTTTATTAGCTTTGCTATAATCAGGAAGGCTAGATTGTCGCCTTACGCGCATTCTCTGCTCCCTTTCCATAGTCATAAGGTCTGATTTCTGAGACAGCACCAAATAATGTAATCGGTGAACCAAATCCATTGTTATTTGCGAAGTATTTCAATAGATAGTAGAGATTAATTGTAATTTCACTCGACGATAAATCGCAAAGTATTGTTAGAAATGACAGCTATATGGAGGAAGACTACTTTAAAAAATAATTTTTATTAATCACATGTGTATGTTTTGTAAATGTAATACAAATGCCGGGTGATAAGTGAAATACAGTTTACATATTGCGTTCGGCCGATCCGCCAGCAAGGGCGGGCGCGACGTGACTGGGACTAACGAGGGCGCCGGATGTAGCGTGGCGGTTCTCGTGCGTCGCTCGGCAACAGCTAGCAAACAACACGCGATGCCTAGCAAAATTTGGATGTCCATGATGAGGTGAATCTAGGCTTCAAATTATTCCATGGGTATGCTATTGGCACATATCCATTTAATTTATTCGGCATTAAGATGCAATTTTCAAGGGCAGTTAAATGGATGTATGTACCCCGTGAAACATTGGCACCAAATTCCATGCTGATGGGATTTACTGCCAATATTGTACATATAATATCTATACAGTGGTGTGTATAGCCAAAGAAGCTTTGGCAATAATCCAGAATTTAGACGTTATGTTGCAATGTTATCGTTTTGTTAAGAGTTTTCATTAATGTTAACTTAGAGATAGATTCTAATGGTAGTATTATAATTCTAACTTGAATTCTTAGAAGAGTTGTCAATAGTCCGTCGTTATGTCAGTTTAATTCTTGGAAGATGAAAAACACCATTCAAAATCCAAATAAACTTTGAATTTCAATATTATTGTACATTGACTTCTTAAATACATTTTAAAGTTGGTTGTCAAGACATCTAAAAAAGAAATGGAAACTTAAGCTGTTAAAAGTGAAATAAAATAATGAAAAGAGTACAAATAAAATGCAGAAAGGATCGTCACATAAAACATTAAGGATTCAAATAATTAAAATATTATATTAAAATATCAATAGGTAAAATAGAGATCAAATAATCCTACTATTATTTCAAGACAAATTGTTAAATTTCTCATTCACAACGGGGACTACTCAGTATAGGTACAGTCGATGCTAAGCAGTATTGACCTTAGGGACACCGGTCGAGCGCACCTGGAGCCGCCGAGGTATAACCGAAACGCTATAGCACTAATAAAGGATTTCATCAAATTTGGTTTCGAATCCCCCGATGAACTTTTTTTTGTTGTCAGGAGGGGCGTGGTCGAAAACTTGCTCAGAGGCGCCAGGTAGACTAGGGACAGGCCTGCCTCTAAGTCGTTTGTCTCTGATATTTTGGCTACTCGATCTGGGATAACAATGTTGTTATGGTCTTCTGGGTTATTGGAATAGATTTTTGACTGATACTTTATGAAAATTCTTTTTGAAAAAAAAAACCGTCTTGAAAAAAAATGTGGCAAAACCAGTTATTTTGATTTTAAAACTAAACTGCTGAATTGATTTTGATAATATTTCTGTGGAACCAATATTAAATATATATATATATATAAAGCGACAGAAAGAATTGAGAATTTTCTTCTTTTGTCAAAATAAATCTGATTTGAAAATATGCTGGATTATTCTTTGGATGGTTAAACCTTTTATATGCATGACTAGCGGTATCCCGCGGCTCCGTGCGCGTGAATCAATATATAAAATATTCTCTTCTTACCGAAGAATATATATAATCTACCCGTTTACTGAATTTCATTTAGTTTTTATGTGAAAGAGTAACAATTACAAATTTTCGCATTTATTTTATAATAGGTATTGGCATATTTACGATTATTTTCTTAAAGAAGTAGGGGGTGCAGGCTCTTAAAAAGTCGCAGAATGTACTTTCAGACATGTTTTGTCAGATGCTAGACAATTCTAGGGTGGATACGGTCTCTCCTCAAAATCATAAAAGTGAGTGTATCCTCACTGAGATCATAAAAGAATCATGAGAATCAGTACAAAAGTGGACAAAATACGAGTATAAGTACATTGATACGTACTTCCAACTTTTTAAAACAAGGGTTTTAAAAGTTTGGTAATAAAACTGGATATAGAAAATTAGATATTGTACCCGACTGTTACCACATGACGTAACAATGACTACACAGTTTGTATTCAAATTAATATCCACCATTTGAATTGAAATTAGTGTGGCACACAAGATAACGCTATTTCCTATACACATGGACGTCACAGAATACACTGTGATATTCGTGACAATCTTTCTATATAATTCTAGGAACTTTTATTCGTTCATAAGCTCATCTTCATCTTGCCTTCATAATCCGTATTCATCATCTGGTTAAACTGAAACCACTGCTAGGTTTAGAAACACGAGCGAGACAGAGGTTATGATGCAAACGACTTTGTACAAATAAATTATAAGAGAGAATATTACTTTTGTAAATAATTGAATTATTTGTCGTAATACTTCGTTTGAATTGTGATTTTATAGATGAAATCTAATTATTATTTGTTCAAGTAACATTTGTAATGACATTTTTAAATATTACTTAAAATGTCTGCTGTTTTTTTGGTGTAAACATAGTTGACTTTAAACACTAAATTTACATGTTAATTCAACAATAAGGCAATTTATGAGATTTGGGGGAAAACAATTGTTAGTAATAGAGACGAACGGCTGCATTGCATGTAATATACCTTAATTTTTTTTTATACAACTTAGAATGGCAAACAAGCTGTCAGCCCACCTGATGGCAAGTGGTAACCGTCGCCTATAGACATAAGCAGTACCATGGACATAACAGTATACTGTTTCGCCCATGATACCCCCCATGCGTTGCCATTCCTGAGGACTCAGATGTTATTCCTCTGTACCCTGTAAATTTACGTCATATCCCACCCTTCAAACCGAAACACAGCCATGCAAACACAACTACTTCACGGTAGAAACATGAATGGGACAGAGGCACCCAAGCAATCGACTTTTGTACAAAGTCTCCCTCTGGTGAAGATAGACCTCCACGTAGTTTCCTCTGTATACAATCGTAGTGAATTCCACATAAATTCGTCATAATGAACTGATCTAACCGAATAAACTGACCTGTTTCCATCCTCACTGGTTATTAAAAAAAAAAAGGCTTTCAAGAAACTATTTCTGATGGATAAAGGGTAGTTAGTACATGAAAAAAAAAATACTAAAATTTAGTTTACTAGTATTTATTAGTAAGGCGAATATGTTCACCTCGGTTCATACAATCTCACAAGTATAAATAAATCTGTTTTAAAGTCGAGCATATATTATACCGGTAAACCACGATTTTGAGCTTATAATAACAAAACATGTAAATATGTAATCTGATTCTGTTATAATTAACAACAGTAATAAATTGCTTTGCTTCTTACAAATTACATTCAAAAATATGTACTACATGTAGTTTGTGTTCCGTATTAAAAATAAAAACAAAATACGGAACAGTGAAATCACAGACAAGATTGGCTTTATAGACATGATTGTTTAATGAAAAAGATTTATGGGAGTTATTACACTTTCATAGTTATAGAGTATCAATAATAATTTGATATTTTTATTTCATTATTTAGCTCATAATTTTTAAGGAATAGATATACAGTTTCATTAACATATAATATTAGATTCCAGTTATACAGTTTTATTGCACCTTATTTATAATAATTTAAAGATATTATGCTTTCTTATATCATAAAAATGACAAACATAAATCTGCAAGATGATACTTAAGAACTTAATATATGAGATCTTTGTAGGCAATAACCCCCTCTATATTTATTAGAATTAATAGTGCAGAAGTAGAGTTAAATTGTAGTTTTGAAGGTTAGTTAGGAAAAACCTAGTATTTAATATTTGTTGGTATCATCAATAGACTATGTATATATAATTTACAAAAATTACAATGCTTATATAATTTAAATATAATGTGCAAATTCTTACCTGCATGAATAAAAATTCTTAATTTATTAGAAACAAAACATTACAAATTTCATTACAACAAGATGGATACTTGTATAAAAATATATCCAAATGAATTTTTATTTTATAATATATATAAAAAAAAAAAAAAAATCAAGTAAAGAGTTAAATTATTAATGTAATCCTTGGTATATATGTAGAAATTCTGACATATATCAAAAACATAACTTTCTAGCATAACTACTTCACATATTTTTAACATGCTACATGAAAAAAACTTATTAATTTAGTAATAATTCAAATATTATCAACACATTCTATATTGTCATAATAATAGTTTATTTTTCTAATAATTACTTTGTGCAATTTATCTTAATATTATATTTCCATTGAACACAGTTTCATTATCCACAACATGCCTGATATGTACTTATATACATATATACTTCATTGAAATTACCATACAGCAAGTCTTAAGCCAAATCAGGATCTCTACCATTACTGACATTATGTCACAAAAATATTAATCATAGGACTATTGTAGAAATTAAATTATGCACCCACTCCACTCAAAATAATATTAAATTAGTACCTATTTATTTAATACTAAAGTATATCAGTAATTGTAAAACAAAAATATGCACCAGCCATTTTTTTAAATTATATTATGAAGAGAGACATGGTAGAAATATTACCTTGTCTATACAACAACCAAATCAATAATTAAAGTTCTGATATACTAAGTACATCATGGTCATAAGATTATAGAACCAAGATAAGTTATTTACAAATAAACAGTACATAAGGTACTTTTGGATATTTTAATATATATATATATTATTAACTATGCTTCTGCTATCTTTGATTTACCATTCAACTTGCCAAGTTGTCCCAACATGAGAACAGTATTTATCAAGTTTTCAGAATAAATACGCTGATTGGTTTCCATTCTTCTCAATTTCTGTACCACATATTTTGAGAAGAATTCAAGTTCATTATCATTAACTGTAATTTTAGAGCCTGAATCATCTAAACTTCGCTTGCGTTTAGTGGCCTTAGAACTTGTTTGTGTATGTGCAATAGAGTTTCTGGGTTTTCGTTTTATTGACGTATTTGAGTTTTCATTTGTGCTGCTATCACTGTTCACAAATGCAAGGTTTAAGTCCTCACCCAAATCATTAGCTTCTTCTTCATTTAGTTGTATTGTTAAATCGTCAGGAACAGTTACCATTGGTACATGGTTATCAGAAAATAAAGGTGAAGGCAGAAATGATACCCGTTTACAGACTTTAACACCAGAGTTTTTCGGTTTGACCACTACTGTGTTAGTGGCAGTTGATCCAACAGTATGTCTACGATTTGTTTTGGTTTTTGTTTCAGTGTTATGCAAGCGGCTACCTGTTTGTTTATTGCTCCAGAAATTTACTTTTATTTTTGGTTTTGGCTTGGCCTTTTGCTCTGTTTTAGGTTTAGATAGGATTGTGGGAAATTTGTAGCGTACATCATCATCTTCACTCTTCACCTTTTCCTGCTTCTTTACAACTTTAGTTGGTGATTTAGTAATGTTATTGAAATAGCTTGTATTTAATTTATATCTGACATTGTCATCATCTGATTGATATCCATTTTTCTTCAATGATTTGTCTATAGTTGATGTCTTCATTTTATGAATGTGCACTTAATTTCACAAGAATGTTCGAATTTAAATTCATTAAAATAATAATTTGTCCGTAGCACCTGTAAAAAATAAGTATACTATATTAGAGTACGAAGAGCTCTTCGTAAGCGATATCGGTAAAAACCAGTTAGGTAAGCTAGCGATACGTAAAATTTCCCGCCTAAATCTTTAACTACAGACATAATAAATTATTCGTAACAAAAACCCAGGTAATAAAGAATTGTTATAATTTATAAAATCTACATTGTAACTACAAAGTATGAAGAGTTAGCAGTCAAGTTAAATTTAGATATCGAAATAACCTGTCGTAAACTATAATAATAGATAAAAATATTTTGAGGTTATAAGTTTGGATGATTAAAATAATAGAATTGTATCACTGAAATAGAAAAAAACCAGATACTATGTACAATAATAAAATGTTATCAATTACTGTTTATTTTATCGATGTAATTAATCTCGATTTGCCATAGAAAATATGTCTCGTCATCAATAGGGCTTTTTTGTCGTTTACTATTACATAATCACAATGTTTCACAAGAATGGACTTACCTTTAGAATTAATAATAATTATTTATCCTTCCACGAATCACTTTTCACTTCAAACAAGTATTTATTAAATAAATCCACGAATACAAACACGATACACGAGTTTCAGCCAACAGTGTTCATGACGCAAAATAGTTCTAAGTTTGCTCACAAGGGGCGCGCGCAGCAATCGCGCGGGCGGGAAATTAGTAATAGAAGTGTTCATGATGCAAGAAAATTAGGATTCACATTCAATTTTTAAATATACACTTTGTTACCGAATGATTCGATAATCATGAATTACAAACTTTAACAAGTAGTTACTGACTTCGTAAATATGAAAATTTGTAAAGATTTTTAATGTTTGTTACTCGTCATTATTACCTACGGCAGGGATTTTTAAAATAACTTTTAACAAAATACACTAAAAATAAAATCAATATATCCACGTTAAAAGAGGTTGAAGTAAAAGTTTGTATTTTGATATTTATTATTCAATTTTATCCTCTTAAAAGAAAATAAATTCTTATATATGTATATACATCTATCTGAATATGTTTTATTTTAAACCGTTAAAAAATAGAAGTTAACTGCTTAAGAATTTGTCTTTCATCCGCATTCATCAGTATCTATATAATGCATTTTGTGTGTTTAGTTAAAATATCAGTATTTATTTATTTACATTACTCTTTTATGTAATGTATGTTATTTACTCTTTATTATACCAGCTATTCGTTTAACTTTCATCTAAATTCGTTTAATGCTTTAGATGTGATCGAGTAAAAAATATTCAAATATTTTTACAAACTTTTACATTTATAGGACACGATTCTTTTATCTTGTATTTATATATTCTGGTATGGCACCAAGGCCTAATATAGGAAGATACCAGTCATAAGGTTGCCTAGAGTGACAAAATTATTTTACTTTCTTCATAAAGGGCGGCAAATATTTTTTTGCCGTAGATGTCAAATTAGCTAGATTGAGCATGATTAATTCTCTTACGAATGTAAGGATAGGTATTATTAATATTTTATTACTATGATATTTTAGATATTTATAGACAATTTCGGTATACAGGTTTTGCGCAAAATATCAATTAATGAAATAATTATAAAAATATAATTATTATACTGTATAATCACTCTCATTTACTCATCCTTTATGGCAAATATTATGTTAATATGTTCTGTAAAATCTTATGAAGCTATTTTCGGCGCTTGAGAGGAAGAACCATAATAAGTCACTATATTTTTTTTTTTTTTTTATAAAACTTAGAATAAACAAGCTCGGCCCACCTGATGGAAAGTGGTAAGTCTATTTTCATAACAGAGTATACGTTTCGCCCATGATGATTCCTGAGGAAGGTGCTAACCCAGTAATAAGAAACACAGCCATGCAAACACAACTGCTTCACTTGAAACATAATACAAAGGTATATTCCCATACTATCTCCCTCTAATATCATATATCAATATATTCCCTAATATAATACAAAAAAAAAATACACACACACATTTTGGTGGTAATATGTTGTAAATGTGACGTATTTAATTACTATTAATATCATATAGAGGATATTTGTAAATATAATCATGCATATTACTAAATGTGTGATTTAGAAGATAGAATATTCGTTTGTAATCAGAGATGAAGCTTATGAGCTTCATCTCTGATTTCAGTCGAATATAATAAATTGAACAATAAATTTTAAATGGAGTTAACAGAGACCCATTATTTAATTTTAATATTTTGCTAAAGCTGAGCTTGTTTCGTAGTGTAGATTGATTCCACACTAGATGGAATAACGGCTTCAAATATATTGTAGGGAGTTAGTAGATGCAGTTGGCTCAGGACCGTTTCTTATAGCAGTCTATGGGTAAAGCCTATGTTCAGCAGTGGACCGATAATAGTTAAGATGATGATGATGAGCTATTTTCGTGATGAGATTACAAATTAATTACAATTAGAGACGATTATATTTTAATAAAGTATTTAAAATATAAGTGTCTAACCCATATTCCCATATAGAGACACTATTATTTCTATCATATACTTATGAACTAGATAAAAATATGACACCAAAAAAAAATTTGATCGGTAGATACTTATACATACTTATATCGTTAGGTACTTGAAGACATAATAAAAATACATAATATGGCATAATTATTTGCTATACCTTTTATCTATATTACAACATAAACGACTGTTTATGTTATTTTATAAAACGATGACTATTTATGCAATAAACAATGATTATTTGTTAGAAATGTATAAATGTAGTTAAACAGATATATAGGTAATTAGATTTCGTCTAAGAATTATTAAAAAAAATTGATTCTATTAATTTATAATAAACAGAATTACTTTACTTTTTAATACAGATATTTATTAATAATATTCTAAAAAAATGGAACCTTATACATGGATAAGTACAATTAATACTTACGATATGATTTTTCATAGAAATCCACCCCATTTTGGCACGATATTTTATTTTTCTTTTTTTATCCGTGGTTATAAACTTTCAATTTACGTTCGAACGATAAAACAGGACGGAAATTGGTGATAATTGTCAAATGAATTAGTAAATATGGTTGGTATTTGTTATCTATGATCAAATCTGGATGATCGTAACGAACACGTAGGTTATGTCGGTCCACGAGATCTCCTCTCAGACTGAGTGGGAAGCTGTGCGCAATGCGGTACTGTACTGCTCACACCAAAACATAAAACTTTATGACTGTACTAAACAAAGTCTGTATTTAAGTATAAATTTAAATTATATTTAAAAACTCATAATATTAGATAGGTAAGCAGGCAAAAAAGTAAAATTAGATGGTTATAGTTATTTTTAAAAAGAATTTATAATAGCTGGACAAAATATATAAAAAAAAGAAATATATTTAGATTTGAGAATAATACTTATAAATGAATTATTTTAAATGAATGTTTATGAATATTATTTTGTTGAACTGAACTACGCAGAAATGGCGGGTAAATTCAATTTTATTGATTGGGTCAGGGGACTTCGTTTCGCATGTGCAAAGTATGGATGCCTAGAGCTACTAAGTAATAGGCGTGCGCAATGTACCTACACCTAGTAACAAGAATTGTTTACACTCACATTGAGAAAATGTTTTTGTTTACGATGCAGCGTTGCCTAGAATAAGCATAGAAGGGGAAAATGTAAGTTTAGAAAACAAGAATTCAAATACAATGAATGTAGACAGTTGGAAATCGATAGATACTCAGAATTAAATACTTACTTAAATAAAAGTATGTATACACACATTATTTTAAAGTCTTATTACAGATATTGCCTTTACTTTATTTACTTGTATCAAATACCATGCCATTTAGATGTACCTATATTCGTATTACTGTCAGTTTTTTTTTTAGAAAGCAGATACCTATCAAGAATAAGAGACATTTAATTTCTAAGATACAAATAGGTAATAAGAGAGAACAAATTAACAAATGAGGGATGTTACAGAGATTGTAAATATCACCGAAGTGCATAAAGAGAGAGGCTACTGTCATGTTTACATCTTTAAGTTTTTCGAAATCAAGTTAAAGTTTAAGAATTAGAAATTAATACCTAAATTACTTAGAATACATAATGACTGAATTATTGTTTTCGTAAAAATATTATAATCCTTCGTGTATAGCCGAAGAGACTTTTTATCATATTTTTTAGTCACTGTTAAAAAATGTAATTAATAGTATATTCTGTAAATAGATCTTATAATATTGAACACGAGTCGCGATTCCAGTTTGGGAAACTATCGGACATGTAATAGATTAAGCAATAATAAATTTATTAGGTAGGTAGGTGATATTGCAGTATTTTTATTGTTTTGTTTGTAATATAAAATATATTTAAAAATCATATTTTTACTTACCTGAGCTCTAACAGCTGCTAAATGTAGCTGCGTCGCTCTGTAGTCGTACTTCTTTATGGATATCTCCTCCTGATAAAAATATATAAACATTTACATATTTGATATAACATATCACACTTTATTATGAAATCTTTTCATACTACAATATAACACTACTGTCATGTGAATAAGTAGCTTTTTTCAAGGATGATAATAGAATAGTAACTCCGCCTGCGTTATCTGTATACGCTGGCGGGGCACCACTGAGGGATGATAGGCGAGCATGAAGTTAGATCAGTCGGCTCATCTTGACGAATTTACTTGGGATTGATCACGATGGTTTCTAGAAGGAACCGCTTGGAGGTCGACCTGACATTGAATATTGTTTGCAGCAGGACCACTTTCCAATATTAACAATTTCTTTTTCCTGTGGGTAGAACCTGTCAGGTCAGAATAGGGGGAGGAATTGTTACCCGGTATTGTAACAATTGCCCTGTAGTCCCTACAATAGAAAGGGCCACCCCTTCCTTTTCTTTTTTTTTCAGTCGAGATATGGACAGTAGCGTCCTTCTAAAGATATCATCCACGCATAACTGCGGTTGCCAATACGCCTGTCAAGCATGGCAACTTCAGAATCTCCAATAAGGAGTGGCCTATGTTCAGCAGTGGACAAAGAATGGCTGGTATGATGATAATGGTTGTAACAATAACATAATTTTAATGTGATATAATATAATTATAAAATTGAAAATGTTTGCTTGCCCTTTATGTTTTTTACAGCATGAAAAAAAAACGGTAATGCCTTTTGCGCTATCGGTACACCAATAAGATATGAAAGATAAGGCTGATTTAATATAATTATATGATCATATGTCATAGTTCACCATTGTATAGGTTTATTATTTAATTTGTGTGTCAATATAGATATGCCTGTAACTTTATTTACCCACAACAATTATCAATACTTTTCGCCATAATTAGCTTTCTATTTTGCCAAACGTCGATTGAAAGAGAAAAATATATATAGCATTAAATTCGCCTTTTTTACGACGCACACACACACACTCATTTTAGATGAAACTGTTATAATACACATTTATTTATTTTCTTTATTTATATTTTATAATTTTTAACAATTTTCAATCCTGTTTAGGTGTAGTCAAATATTTTTGTAAAATAAAGTTTCATTCTTTTTTTCTTTCTTTTGTACCAAACATTTTTTTTTGTAATGTTTTTAGTAAAGGATAAACAAATAAATGACAGCAGTTCGGTTGATTCATTGTCATGAATTCAATAAGAATTAACCACGATTGTTTCCAGGGGAAACAGTATGGAGGTCGACCTAATACCTAGTGGATAGATATGTTCTAGTATGATTAATTAATATCTCAATCGGACTGAATTATGGACGTAGCTGGTTGAAAACAAAGATGCCTGTAAATTACACCCCTCTATTTTTTATTAGCATTAATAAAAAGTAAAAATTTTCAGAATGAACGTGTACATAATTAGTTAGTTAGTAGGTAAGTAGGTAGCTACCAACTAACTAATTAAATAGGTATTTACCTATGCTTATTTACACTTTTCTAATAAAGAAGTACAATAAATGTGATAAAAAATCTATATTACAGATTGCGTCTCTCTAGTGGCTGCTTCACTAACATTTTTAGTTCGTACGTTCGAAGGTAGTTCTGCGCTGTCTTATAACTAAAATCTTTATATTATATCTGATAGATGGCTCTGTACAGTAACACGTTAATAAATGTAACTAATATAATTTTCACTGTTGTCACTAGATGCCGTTATAGGTATCCAAATTAATATTTTCTTATTATTGAAGCATTTTAGAATAGGAGGAAATTATTATGACTTTCAAATCATATTTTTTTTTTATATTGTAAAGAAAACACTGACAGATTATTTCAAATCAAAATGAAATCCTTTGCTTTTACGAGTCGCTTGAAAAATTATTACCCACTATTTGCTGACGAACCTCTAAAAAATCGCTTTAACTTCTTGTTAGGGGCTTTATTTTCGTTTAAGCCACGCTAATACCATTTCTGTTTTTACCGTAAAGCAGTTGTGACTGTGTTTCAGTTTGAAGGGTGGTATATGGCAGCGAATTTATAGGATACAAAGGAATAACACCTGAGTTCTCAGGAATGGCAACGCATGGGGGGTATGATGTGCGTAACAGCGTACTTTGTTATGTCCATGATACTCATCATCATGTTTATAAACGACGATTACCACTTTCCGTCAGGTGGGATGTCAGCTTGTTTGACATTCTAAGATGCATAAAAAATACGTAGATATCTATGTATATGTGAATTTCTTTATTTTATCTCATTTAGCAGCTGAGAGGTCCGTAACAATCAACAATCGCTGGTACTTACAGTTTATTATAAAATAAATTCCATCAATTTATAATGCCCAACGATTTACCTGTTTATAATGACAAACAGAATTTCGATTCAATACATTCCTAAATTTCCACGACCGCCAAATTTCTATTTGAGCGAAAAATTTTAATGATGTTACGTCCTAAGTCCTAACTCTCAATAGGCGTCGGTTGTTTGTGAGTTTTGTTCAAAATCTGAAGTGTGTATTTGGATATTATCAATATCTAAGGTATAGGTAAAAAATTTATAAAATAATAATACTAACATATTTTTTTTATTCAACAGTGTGAAAGTTAAGTAAATTTATAATTATTTAGGAGTATGTCTACCTTTCTGCCTTCTTTTCCCAAAACATACAAATATAAAGCAGAATATGTTGTCTTTGTATTGCCAATTATTATATTAAGGTGGAAGCGTTTGTTGTAAGTATGTATATGTACAGAATACAGATCTGTGAGTGATTGTAGGAATTTATGTATGTTTTGTTACTCTAAACAAACTATTGTGACTCTAAACAAATTACTGACTCGAAAAGTATAGAGATCTATACTTTTTGAGTCAATTTCTTATATCTTCATTCTCATCTCATTACTAAATCAATCTCTTATTACAAAATTTCATAGAAAAAAAGTTAAAAGTTACAATAGTTTATTATATGCCGGTATATAAAAATGGCCTGACTGATATAAAGACAGGCCGATATAACTATAATACTGTTATAATTATTCTGATTGGCCATTTGGAAATTCAAATTTTACACAATCGTAAAAACAGAAATTACTTTTTCTCCACAGACTTTGTATTGCTTTACTTTTTTTCGTAATCAAACGTAACGAGGGACTTATAATAATAGCCAACATTTCCAAAAAAAAAGAATAATATAAGTTAAATTTGAGAACTTCTTTTAGGGTTGGAGTAAAAGGTAAATCAAACAGGAAAAGATAATATACGAAAGAGGAAATATAAGATATTTTTCAGTCCCATTTTTAATACGGTCCAATGGTTTGCCGGTGGTGTTAGTCTTTCCGGTCAAAATACAATACTACGGATCCAACAAGCTAAATTTCGCAAATCGAGTAATATTCTGGTTTGAGTGATTTTAAATGGGTAATACGAAAAGGTTCATTTTGGTTATATACGAAATGGAATTAATCATTTTTTCTCTTTTATAAATATTTATAATCCATTTATTCACTGGATGTATGTAACAGGTAGATATTTTATTTATTAATTTGTACTATTAAGGTTTTACAGAAATGTGGTTGAAAACGAAAGAAAATTGTTATGTAATTGATAGATATTATTGCAGTACATTAAATTTATTTATCCCGGCTTCGCATGAATAGATTATTTAGGGATTATTAATATTTTTTAAAATAAAATAGAGTTAATGTTACTCGCTGATAATGTAGCTTTTTAAAGGTGTAATAAATTTTAATATCGGTTATTTTTGATGTTTATCATACAGAAAATCTTGCCTGTTTTCAATTTTAGATTAGACTAGGTATTTTGCGACCGTTCTCGTGGGAATTAAGATAATTTTTTTTTATTATGTCAATATACTAAATCTTATTGTAATCGAGAGTAAGAAACGTCCAAATATTCACATTTATAACATTAACGGGATCACGTATTTTTTTACCAATCTATAATGAAGTATAATGAAATATAAAAATAAAGACTTTATTTATTATTCGACGTAAGTAGTGAGTGATACAGCATTTATATTCTGTTGACTGTTATATTTATGGTGTTGTTTATGTTTTTAGGCTGCGGTTACGTTTTCCATGAGATTAGGTCAATTATTATTTATCATAGACAGTAAAATAACTTGTATAGTAAATTATTTTCTTGTAAGTAAGTCGTAAGTAACATGAATGTTAAGGGTCTCAAAGAGATTTATTTCATTTAAACACTTTACTTATTGGAATAATATTTTAATAATATTTTTATAAAATTTATCTCAATATGAATCAATGTTATATTCTTTTTTTGAATATAATTAGTGAACTTTATTTAAATTTTGAACGTTATTGTGCCTATTGTAATATAATTTAAATGTTGAAGTCATTATTAATAAATGCTACTAGTTGCATTATCTCGTAAGAATGTTAATATGTATATAAAAGATGACATAATTATAATATATATGAGAATGTACAGGTACTTTATATTGTTTTGATAGGTTGGCATGATGTTTTGAGATGTTTCTAAAAAATATCAAAAACTTCTTAGAGGTAAGTGTATTCGTCTTACCTGTATTTCGTTCACCTTGTTGTACATATTGCTCTCAAGACTTCGGTTTTGGAGTCGGGCCAAGGAGTCGAGACTGTCCTGTGAAAAGATATATATTTGACTCATCTTTTTCATAATTATCTATTTATGGCGATACTACAAAAATAGTGGAGGAAATTATGCAGAAATTAGTTACATTATCAGGATGGCCTATCAGGTTTTTTTTTTACAACACAACGACGAGCTCGCCGTTCACAAGTGACTACTGCTGCCCATGAGTATCTGCAATATCGGAAAAATTGCAGATGTGCTGCCGGACTTTTAAAAAGGAATATACTCTTTTTTTCAAGATTTCGAAGTCGTATCGGTTTAGAAATATCCCTGCTGGCAGTTGATTCCAAAGTCCAATTGCATGTGGAAGATACTGACTTAAACAACGCATGGTGAAAAACTGTCATTCATCCAGATGGTCGGATTGAAACTAGTTTATAGCGGATTGTACGATAGTAAAATTTAGTAGCAGGTATTAAATCGAACAATTCCTCAGAACAGTTTTTTGTATAACTATCTCCAATTTACACTGTGAATTTGAATTTTATATTTATTAGATGCTATTTAGGTTGAAATCATTAGCATTCCTTTATAGAAGCGTTTTACGAGTATTAGTGAAATTGTAATTTTTCCACAAAGAAATATATGGATCGAAAATTGTCAATTTTTAATCTTACTTAAAAAATGGCATGTATAGTTTTTAAATTAGTATGAGGTCTAATTTGGTATTGTTTTTAATCCCAATTAATCGAGTAACGATAAATATGTGTGCATTTTTTAAACTTTCGTCTGATCTTCCAATCATGATAATAAATTACCCTAACAAATCGTCTTTTAATGACAATCCGAGAATTATTTAAATTTTATTTTATACCTGTAACTGTTTTATTTGAATATCGAGATCTTGTGCGTCTTTCCTCAATTGCTCATAGTTGAGTCGTGCCTGAGCACCCATCCGATCAAGCAAGATTTCTCCACGTAGAACTGGAGGCATGCTTTCCTGATAAATCAAAGAAAAATAATATAATAATACACATAAATACTATTACATAACAAGAAACGTTACGAAAATAAATTAAAAAATGAGTAGGTAATATTACACGTATTTGTATATAGCTAAATCAAAATGAATGGTACTCGTAACGCCACTTGCGCTATGAGTAGGCTGGCGGGGTACTAGAGGAGGATGAAAATATAAAGATGGTGTCAGGCATGTTGGTCCATCGAGGCTGATTTACTAGAATTAATCAAGATGGTTTCCAATGGAAACTCGTAAGTCCTCAGGTACACTGGATAGAGTATATTGCAAGCAATCTCTTCTTTCTAACTAAATTAATGACACGGTTTAGGGGCATAATGTCTTAGTCCTTAAGAATAGCACCATATGCAGTGTATCGGATGTTCATGGTCCATGGTGATGTTTATGTCTATTTGGTGATAGTTATAGTAGTTCTTTAATTTAGAATAAAAATTTTGATTTCTATTTTAAATAGTATTATGGTGTATCACAAAATGATATAAATTCAAAATATTTAATAACCATTGGAAAATGACCCTTAACTTAGATTAAATATTTGTTAAACGAAACCTTGTATGCATTCGGGGCAACATGTTAATTATGGTTTTATAAACATGTTAATATAATATGCATCGTGAGTCAATATATAGAAGTGGATATAAGTGATCGATAGATGGATGACTGATTACCCGTTGCTCTGTTTTGAATAAATACAAAGTATTCTCGATGCGAACGATCCATCAAAACAATGGATTGTTGATGTGGTTTGGATTGGTATAAATTTAAATTCTCCCTGATTATAATTAGGTATTTTTATGTCGGTTTTACTCAGGTATTTAACTAAAGTATTGTCTGAATATTGTCGTAGTGCATAAATAGGAACTAGGGTTCCTGTTACAAAATTATTTACTATTAAAATAGGACCACAGCTATACTAATACACTCAAGACAGTTATTATATTTTAGATTAATTTAGTCAAGTGTAATTAGTTCTAAGCAGTGTAGTAGTATATCATTCCTCAAAAAAAAAAAATCTTAGAAGTTCCGAATTCCCGGAGAAATATAGTCTCAAAATATTTAAGTCGATGGTGAATATCTACTTTCTAGGTAAGCGGCGTTTTATCAGTTGAGATAAGTCTAAGCGTGAACCCAGAACTCAAAAAATGTGTAATTTAAAAGTTACAGAAGTTGTAAGATCAAATATTGGTTCTAATGGTGTCATTTTAAATTGACTAGTGATGTAAAACGCCACGAATTTTATTTTTTTACTATTTTGGTGGAAATCATACATAGGGTCCGTCTGATGGTAAACGGGATTACCATAACATATGGATATCTGTAGCAGCAGGGATATCATGCGCGCGTTGCTGACCCTTAGGAAACCTTATTACGCCCTTTTTTAAGAACCCCACGCTGTAGTCTCTAAGGAATCCCTCGCTAGGAAGAAAAAAGTCATAGAAAAATTTATTACCGCAGGCACATCGAGCGGCGGATCTTCAGGCTCCGGTGGGTACGGTGGCAAGAATTGTCTTCTTGGCGGTCTCATTGGTGGCTGATTAGTGAGCAGGGTTCGGGCTAGATGAGCTAAGTCCGCAGTGCTGGACACTGCCCGAGCCTGAGCACAAAGCGACTCATAGCGGCGCATTTGCGTATTTGACTGTAAAGAAAAAAAAGTGTTAAGGTTAAGTGTGAGTCGGACTCACGCAACGAGGGTTTCGTACAAAATCATTAAGTTTATTTTTTTTTACTACAAATTTACGGTTTTCAGTTTTTTCTTCACCTGTGCTATATGACATTGCTTCTTGCCAAATTTCATGATTCTAAGTCAACGGAAAGTACCTTATAGGTTTTGATTCCCTTAGCGAATGTCAAAATATGTGATATAAATGGAACATAAACGGCCCCTATCTTTTGATTGCGTCGATAAAGAAGCTTGGTATTTTCACTGCTTTAAGAGATTGAGTATATTATATTAATTTCAACTTGATACTTCCAAGCGTTCCTAAGAAAAAGAGTCTTCAAAAACGAACGAACGGACAACGAAGTGAGGATCATTTCGTTGTCCGTCTGTCAATAAGGGTTTTATTTTTTCCTTTGTTACGGAACCCTAAAAAAATAACTAATAGTTGTTGGCGACTGGCCGGAACCAACTTTTATATTTATATTCTAATTTAGAATTCACATTTATTTGTATTTTTTTTATTATTTTGTTATATCATTTTTGTTACGATCTAGTTCGCATAGTTTCATATTTCGAATTCCTGTATGTGTCTACTTTATTCACTTTACAGTTAATGAATTGCTCTTGTAATAAATTTGTAATTTTAACAATATTTGAATTTATTAATAATTAACTTAAATTCGATAGAATTATTTTATTTAGTTGCTACAGTTAACGAGTGACGATCCCATAATTTTATTAGGTGCGAAATACGTGGTGAGTGGACCAAAATCTTAAAAGTTTCAAGGTTGGAATCACTTCATTATATAAAATTTGGTGCACCTTTATTTGTTAATGAAATTTTATAATAAATGCGTGCCTAATACTTAATGCATAATATGCAATAATATTTAATTTTGCAACAATAATAAACATTGATCATCAATCATTAAAAAGTGCAGTTTAAAGTTATGAATTTCTTTTGGCTTTAGTGATTATTGGCACACGGTGGAATTTAGATTTTTATTGAGTATAACACTTTTTGTACTATACCATAGATTATTATTAATATTTTATTGCTCCATAAAAAAGAGCCATAAAAACGGTTGGTATTATCGAAGCTTTTTGTATCAACAATCTAGGAGTATTTGCAATTAAATATAACTGAAATATGTTGTGTGTATAGACAATTCCAAAATGACTTTTGTAGAGAAATTTGCCCTTTAAATTCTATTTTTTATCACTTTGGATTTTTTTATTTTTTAAATGCGGAACCCTGAGTGTATCAGACTGCAAAAAATAGGTTAATCTTAATTTTATCCTCTTTATAAAATATATTACTTGGAAATACGATTCGAAAAAGTTACATGCAATTTTCGACTATCATTCAATTACAAGCTATCCCTCGGGCCAACAAAATAAGAGGAATTTTTACCCAATGTGACGTTTTTGTATTGTATTTCGGAATGTCATCGGTAAATTGAGAAAAATGCTTCAAATTAAATTTTTTTTTCAATGAATTAATAACAATTTTATTTGCTTTATTTGACTTAACGGTATTACTTTGCTTGCAACAATATCAATAACTTGTGAAATGTTCAATGTTGTTATACGAGTACACAAGTACTGATTTTTACAAAATATTGGATTGATTCTGTACCAAAGAACCCTTACGATACGATTTTGTCTATCTGTCTGTCACAGCTATACATCTCAGCAACTACTAATACTATCAATTTGAAATTTGGACAATTTTTAGATATTATTAAGCCGCATAATTTTCAAAATAAAGTAATTGTACAGAATATTTTTGTTTTCTTTGCTAGAAGGTCAAAACGTGGTGCTTAAATTTCAAACTGGGCCTATTAGTTCAAATCGAATAACATACGAAAGAGTTTCATTTGTTCATTCTAAATTTGAAAGTGGGCCTATTAGTTCAAATCGAATAACATACGAAAGAGTTTTATTTGTACATTCTAAATTTGAAAGTGGGCCTATTAGTTCAAATCGAATAACATACGAAAGAGTTTCATTTGTACATTCTAAATTTGAAAGTGGGCCTATTAGTTCAAATCGAATAACATACGAAAGAGTTTCATTTGTACATTCTAAATCTATTTTTTGTTTATTTTTATGGTTCAAGTTTATGATTTATTACAGAAAATATAAAAAAAAATCGTTCTCCTTATCTCCGAAGTCTGTGTAGTAAATAATCGTCAATAATTACTGTTTACCTATATGTTAATATTATAGAAAAAATTGAACTATGATTCTAACTAGCACGTTTCTTGAGAAATTATTAAAAAACTTTACAAACAAACTTAGCCAAAATAAGGAATTCTGAAAAATTTTTATAAGAATTTTTATTATTATTAGGTGTTCCATTTGATATAAGAAACACAATAAATCCATTCGTAAAGAACATTAAAATCTATTTACAGATTATGTATGAAACTCTCCGCGCTGGCGTATGATTACAACTCTTACATTATTTATTTTTATTCAATATAAAAATGGAAGATAAATGAGCATAGAGTCACGTATGGTGACGAGTTAATCAAGAATTAACCACTACAGTACTTATTGGAGTCTGTGTGAAGGTCGACCACTGTAATCCTAATTAGAGGAATCCGTCATGTATTACTTTTACTGTTGGACTTTTACTATAGTCTTGGTGTATGTCAAATCCATATTCGCCGAGCATGTTTTGAACTTATTATCTTTAATTTTAAGAACTTCAATTTGTAAAATACCTATAATGATTTGATTTTTTTCATACTGATATCATTATCTGCTTGGTTGAGGCAATTTCATTATCCAATGCGAAGCCTTTATGCAGTACATCAATCTCATGGGAAGTGGCCATTGTCCTTTCCAATATTAAATAGCAGACGATACAGACGTAAGTAGCTCAGATTCTAGAGGTCAGCTCTATTATATCTTTCCAATTTAATATATAATTATATTTGTATTATTCTGGTCTTGTTAAATTGAATTTTACTTAAAATAGGTTGGTATTCAACTCTAAAGACATTGTAAATTTGTTTATAATAGGCACTACAGTGAATTCTGTGATTCTATTAATATTTATAGTCGATGGTCACTATTGATCAGATGGACAGCTATATTGTTAGTTATTCCAAGTTGTATAGAAGAATTTATCTATATATAATGAAATTATAACGAGATATCGTCTGTTCATATTTCAGAAAAAAAATATATGAGGGGTCAGCAAATTCTGTTGATAAGAGTAATAAAAGCTAAAGCAATAATTTGTAAAATTGTTGTGTACCTATCTCTGATGTTTGGCTTCACATAAAAACTGTTGCACCAAATTGAATGTGCTTTTCGAACTTGTGTTGTAAAACTTAAAAATGGGCTATTTCCAAAATCCACGCGAATAAGATCGCGGAGAAAAACTAATTCTTATTAAAAATGGAAGGTAACGAATTGATTTATTTACCTTTTCTGTAATAATCTCGCCTTCCTGGCAAATGGCATCGCTGACAGCTGTTGTCACATCCGTTAAAATTTCTTCTAATTCCTGAAAGAAAACATAAGATATAAATAAAATAAATGGCAATCTCAGATAGGTAATCTCCATAACATTCTATTATGTTTAATAACATTACAAAAAATGTATATGAATAAATAAAATAAACAAATAAGTATAATCACAAGTTCACCTGATCCTTAATCTAGAATATCCTGCGTTATTAGAAACCAGATAACGAATTCTGGAGGGCAACCCAGAACACTCAAACTAAGGGAACTCAAAGGTCAAGGGATGGGCAGCAGTGTCCCACTTAAAACATCACCACGGCCTAACTGCGGTTGCCAACCCACTAGCTAAATGTGGTAACTACTGGTAAAACTATCCTTATGGGGGAGGCTTTAGTTCAGCAGTGGACAGTTAATGGTACATATAATAAAAAAAAACTTATCAAAGAGTTAGTCTGAAATTAATCGATTTAAATACTTCGTTATTTATTGTCAGCCAGATTGGAATTGACGATCTTTGAGGTTTTTATATTTGGGTAAACCACTAGGCCATGATCCTCTCATATAGTCCCATTATGGTTATTCAAAATCGTGAACTTTAAGCACTGGAATAAGTAAATTAATTAATTCCGTTATACAATAGACTTCTGACAACTGCAGCCAAAGATGATTTAATTAAAATCGGAGTTAGTTTTGATTAAACTTGATTATTCTATTATATAATCAGATTGTGATGTAATTAGAATAACTTAGTCATATTGATCCTATACACATTGGTATATATAACATTATTTTATATGGGGACAGGGAGAAGGCAGCGATATTAACAAAGTCCCACAGCTGAAGGCTCTGCTCGAATCTTAAGACCCTTCCCAAGATTCAACTCGGCACCCCCTTCTATACTTATACGCAACTGATAAAATAAAGAAGAATGACAGTTATGTTCATGACTAAGAATCATATCAAATACTAAGATAGAATAGAATATAATTATTTTTTTTATTGAAATAGTCTTGTTTCCAAGGTCTTCTAAATCGCCATTTTTTATAATTCTACTGCTGGGTTCAGAATGTTGTTGTCTGCTGAAAACAACTCGCAAAAAATTCAACATTTTCTCTTTTCAATTTACTAATGTACAAAGTAAATTTACATTTGTATGGTTACTATGACTATAATAACCATTCAATTTTATTTACACGAGTATGTATTATTCGATGTGAAATTTTCAATCAGTTATCAATCAACTCATAGTATACAACAAAGTCGATAACCGTCGTCTGTATGCTTAGATCTTTTAAACTACACTACAGATATTAATGCAGTTTTTATCAATAGGTAGAATGATTTAAGAGGTATATTTATACATATACTTTAATATTGTTTTGTGTTGATTTCTCGAAATACAATGATAATTGTTTAAAATGTCGGAAGAAACCAAGTCGACTGAGAACTTTCATCAAAAAAGATAAAATGTAGAAAATAATGTATGATGGAATTGTTTCTCTTTATTAGGATTACAAAAAAGTCAGCGATGGCATTCTATATTATACAGATAGCTTTCTATTAATATTTTAATGTTTAAAAAAATATATAAGTTATGTGGAGTTTGGAAAACTGTTTAGATGGATTCAGTAGAAATATTATTAATCACTCCAGATCGACATCAAATTGGCTCCATATTGCATACCTACGAAGCTGTGATGGGTCGCTGTAAATAATAAACAAAAACAGATAGGTCTCCGCAAACAAAAGAATAATAATATTATAAATGTGAAAATGAGTTTTTATGAATTTGTTTGTTACTTCTTGACGCCTTAGTGGCTTAACCAATTGCTATGTCTTTAGTGTATCATATGGGACTCACAAGTCATGGCTACTTTTTATTCCAGTCAACGAACATACGAGTATTTCGATCAAGCGGATGGGGTCGTGAGTAAAAACTACATAAATTTTTGCTAAATTATCATTTTAAAATTTAGTTTCAAATGTACGTTTAGAGAAAAGAAGATCAGAATCGATAATATTTTAAAACTCAGTACTTTTTTATTACCAGTTTGCCAGTAGTTGTCACTGTTGGCAAAACCCCCTACTACATTATTTTCAATAACTAGATAATAATAAAAACTAAATACGAATTCTAGATAGTGATTTATTTCGTATCTCACAAGATTTATACGAGTAATATTAAAAAAGGGAGGGCAATATTTTTCGGTTGCTATATTATGTATCTTTGGATCTTTGGCGCAAGGTGTCGCATGAACGGCATGATGGATTTTTATAAATGGCATCTTATTAGATTTGTTTTTTTTATGGAAGTGTAGGCACAGTCTAAAGAACTCTTTTTTTATCAGTTTTTTTAGGGGTGAAAATGGTATGGTAACCCCGCCTGTGCTAACGGGATACGCTGGCGGAGCACCAGTGAAGGGTGATAGATGAGAATGAAAACAGGTCAGTTAGCCCATCATGATGAATTCATCAGGAATTAACCATGACAGTTTCCAGGGAGAACCTCGAGTAGGTCGACCTGGTTAGGTATATTGCTAGCAATGCAATTCTCAGTCTCCATTACTAACAATCCATTTCTCCCCTATTATCAGTTATTAGATGATTGGTAATGAGTATATCAGAATCTAGATACATCTAGTTAGATTAAAACATTGTGAATTGTCAAGTAAACCTTTGGGATAAAGAACGATAAAGTTTGAGGCCAAACATCTTTATCATTACATTGTGTTCGTAGTCATAGAAAAGGGTTTTATCTAAGCTATAACTTATATTATGATGTGAGTAGTAGAAAACTAACATGGTAGTATAAGATTATAATACAGACGGCGATCATAAACGACCAAAAACTCGTTTTACAGTTAGGTTTTTATGACTATATTACGTATACTTGTTTTGAAATAGATGCTTATATCTTAATACATTCTACGACTGGATACCTACGGGTCGAACGTAAATGGGTACCACTTATACTTCTGGTAATACAATATCGTATAGTGATTTACTGGAAGTAGTCGGAGATTACACGATGTGTCAAGTTGAATTGCCGAGGGACTCATTCAATTTCGTTCTGAACATTTTATCTGTATTGTTTTTGCGGGGAAAAGTATAATGGCAATCATATACGGATTCGTTTTCTGAGTTCCATCGTGTTCCTATGTTTCAGACGAAGTTCTATGGAAGTTTATGAATAAGTGCCTAATCGATAAACTTACCGTCTTTTCCGCTGAATCATAGCTATTTGATGAGTTTATTTGATTTATTATCTCTTAATGAAAAAAAATCTCTTATTTCTGCTAATATTACTAATAAGAAAGTAAGTTTGTTGTTTGTTAAAATTTGATACATTTGGTATTAGGAGTACAAAAGAATATAGGTTATTTTTTATCAAGTTTGATGAAGTTATGGATAAACATTATTATAATAATAATTACCATAGATCTTTAAATAGAGAAGATATGTAGATGATATAGAAGGTGTTGTATGGGGGTCGGCTGTCGCCGCCCATCTGTCAATGGGCAACTGTCAACTTGACACAATCCTTCATTCTAGGGATTAGACAGTATTGACATTAATCAACAACTCCATATCAGTATATATTGGGTATCAATGCCCGCCCAATTGTAAATACTACAAAATGCTTAGTAGTAGGATTCTTCATTATATTCTCATAATATATATTAATTTATTAATATTATGAAGTAGTTAATTAAATAAAGAAACGACATTATATTGTATCTTTTTTTAAATATACAGTCAAATTATATGAATAGGGTGAAATTCGTGAATACTTAAAGCAAATAATTAAAAAAAAGTGGTTATGAAGACAAGTCAGGGTGAGTAAATAGTCTCAGATTTGGAAATTTTGTCGCGTGGTTTAAAAATATTAGTATTAATAGGTATATTATATGTTATAATATAAATAATAAATACTATATTATTAAAAAAAGTTTCAATTTACCTGTAAAATAGTTGGCAGTGTATGTTTATGGTACTGGTCCAGCATAGCATTTGTAGCCGTCAGCTGTTGAACGTAGGTGTTATGGGAGTCGTAGTAAATAGCGAGAGCAGCTGGGTTCGGATTGTTGCAGTAGTTCAGGAATGCCGCCCTGTATTCTTGCCGTGTCTGGAATTTTTATCTACGTATTATTATCTCAGTTATTTTTGTTTCAGATATTTTTTGTTATAAATTATATTAGGTATAAGACTTAGATCAAAAATACTAACTAGATATAGTTTTACAAATAAAAAAAAATGGCATTTTTATGCCACGTTTTTACGTACGAACTAAATTATAACTAAAGCTATGTTTGACTTATATTTTAGTTCATGATGTTTCACTGAATATAAAATAAAAAACGGATATAAAATTTTATAGTATCCGACGCATAACTTAAATATAAATATTAAAACACACTTTTAAACTATTAAAAATAGGACGTCATACTACAAGTGTAGTATTATTTGCTCAACTGTTTGATTTCTTGTTGATCGAAGACTAGATATTCATGTTAAGCCTATTGTTCACATTCCAATGATTAATAAAATTTTATTAAACGCACAATATAAGATATACTGAAATAATGAAGATGATGATAAGCCATACTGCGTAGTAGTTTTTATATGATTTTTACAAAATTAAGCAGTCAAAAAAAAAGTTGGGATAATTATGTCAGTGTCGTAGACATCAAAAATATGTATACATATCTGAACTACATAACTGTGTTTGAGTCGTAAAGCAGCAAAGCTTCTGCAGTTGTTGTATGCTTTGAAAACATTGATAGCCGCGAGTGTTTATTTAAAGTTTTATGATTTTAGTAAATTTTTAATATAAAAAGAAAAACCTTAATTCTCTGCAAAAATGAGTACATATAATGCAGATTCTATCATTACTAACATTGCTTCGTTTATTAAAAGTAAATTCCATTGTTCATCTATCTTTCCAAGGGAGAACGTAATGTAAACAAATCACAATTTTAAATCAGTATTATAAAGCGTAAAAGCAAACAAAATTACCTCACTCGAGGACGAATTCAAAGATCCTTAAATTAAGGGAGTGTTACGTTTCGGAAACTCAAATATCAGAATTAGGTGCCTACTTAAATAGATTAATAATTTATGTTCGAAAATTTTTAGCATGGGTTTGGGAAATATTTTATCTTGTTCACAAGATGGTAAATGTATTTATTATATAAGAGTTAACAGTATTCGTAAATTTCTTTGAATTGTTCATGCATAACCATAAGATTACGGCTGCAAGTCGTGAAACTCACTTATCTCAGTTCACTTCAGTTAAATATATGTAGAAATAAGTAAGGCATTTGTATAATAAAAACATTTTATTTATTACACATAATATTATATTATAGTATTCGTTACACACTTACAAATAGGTATATATAGTAGACGTATGAGAAAAGACTAAATTTTAATGTAAATAACTATAAACTTTTAATTAGATTTTCATATAAAACTTAATTTGTTTATGACAATAATCCTCAATGGGTTAGCCAGAAGCATTATTTGTCGAATATTGCCATCAAAGTGAATACAATATTCGATACGCCCACATTTCGCTGGTGCAATGAAAGAATAACACATTTCACATTACATTGTATTAGTCAGTACAATGTAGTATGCGAAACGTCTTGGGCAGGAGGGGAGGGACTGTTAGTATTGCGGACTACCGATCCTATTGCTAGTAATGTACCCTGGCAGGTCGACCCCCACGTGGTCTCCCAGGAAACCGTCGTGCTGAAATCCAGGTGTATTTATCACGATGAGCTAACTGACCTGCCTTTTCATTCTCACCTATCACCCCTCACTGGTGCCCCGCAAGCGTGTGCCGTTAGCGCAAATGGAGTTATCATTCTATTATCATCCATTAAAAAAATGTGATGGCGATTCGGTTGCCGTTATTAGCATTAATTTGGTTTGTTATTTATATTTTCCATCACCGGTGGATATGTACTAGGTTGTATTATAGTAAAATATTATAATAAAATATTTGTGAGTGTGACGTACAGTAATAATAATATGTTTACATATAATATTTATATGTTATTTCAGCACGATTTCAAATCCAATTTACGAAGACAGATGTACGACGGAAACTGGAAAATAATATGATTATTTTCCCGACGCATCACATATTTTCATGTTTTAAAAACACGGTTCGCCTACTTATCTCAGATCGTGATATGATTGAATGTAATTTCCTTTTCAGCAGATAATAATTCATAATTTTGTTCCACAAAAAACCTACTCTGATCGTAACGAAATTAGTATGTCAAAATCGCGAGGTAGCAATCTCTATTTTTTGAAGTAATTTGAAAATAAAAAAAAATATTAGTACACATTTTAATAGGTACTAAGTTAAGCAGCTGCATTTATGGTGATTCTGTACATTCTGAATTACAAAGTATTGCATCTGTAATTAACTTTAATTGGATATTTGACCTACTTACAATGTTTTATCGAGAAATGGGTCACTATTTTAAAAATTGATATTTATACTTTTATTCTTGGTTTATATTCTTATTTCTTAGTTATTATGAAACGATTTAGTGTATGATCTATCTGTATGACTGTATGAACTGAAAATCAGTGCTTTGCTTTTAAGCAAAACTATCACTGACCTGTAGCCTATTTGGGTCACTGCGATACATATGGCGAAAATATATTTTTGTATTTTATCTTTTTTATTCTTTATAATTGTGTAATTCATTTGGTTGTATAAATTCAGTTGTTAATTTACCTGTATCATAAATATCTCAAATAAAGTGTTTATCTATCTATATATGATATGGGCTGAGCTGGAAATATTATTAATATTTTATTCTTCAAGCAATAATATAAATAAGACATTACATAAGATTATTTTTATTCCAATATTCAGATGTTGATTATTAATATTGGTTTTTCTATTTTCATGGCAGATTTATTACGTAATAAATTATAGAGAGAATTACATAACAATAATATTCATTGTGTTGTATTCTCAGTAGTAAATATAAAAGAAAGAAATATAAAAGACAGTACATGCAATAAATCTATTTCTATTCTATATTATCTTTTCAATTTATATTAAAGCGTTGATCTTTCTTAACCTCATAACTGCGCAAAAAACAGGGTGATAAGTCTCTGTAGCGAGCGACGATTGTCACGTCTACTAAGCGACGGCAAAATGAAAATTGAAAAGATCTTTTAGGCTTTGCTGGCTAGTGTAAAGTGCACGGAAATGTTTTGTGATATTATCGCAAGAGAAATACTGATATATCGATATATTTAGGATAATATAAATAGATAGATAGATAGATATTCTTTATTATTTCCTTCAAAAGATCACAATAGTAAACTTATTATGGATACAAATAATTACACGAAACGATCATAGTAAGAAAATAATGGACAGATATAATGTATTACATTACGGGAGATGCAAAAAAACATGTGTTGGTATAATATCCTTTATTTTATCGGTAGATTTTGCGAGCTTTATTCTCAATTTATATCGGAAAGTCGCATAAATATTACTATACAACTTTATTTAAAAAAAATGAGAAACAAGAGCCTTAAAATTCTAATTATTATTTAAATTTAATGAAATATTTTTGAAACAAATTTAAACCATTCAATATTTTTAAGAAAATTTAAAAAAATGGAGATTCACAATTAGGATTTTTTGTGTATGTTACACAATATCTTCGTCAATTTTAAATCGATCTATTAATTCAGTTTCTTATTGCAAATATACTGTTATTTTTTTTCTAATATGCACACAAAAAAGATGTAAAAAATAGCGGCAGTAGACTAGCTTTGTATACAAACCTTGGTCAGTTGATCATCAGCTTTTCCTAATATTACTTCGCAACCTTCTCTATGAGCGAACAATTTCCGTGCTTGGACCTTCATATGAAATGTCCGGTCAATGAGTGGAGTGGCTACCAGCCTTTCGAGAGAAGTTGCTGCATTGTTATACCCCACTACATCAGCTTCCACTTCCTGGAGGAGTGTTTCCCATGTATGGAACAACGATGACGGGCAAGATGCTCTGAAATGGAAAATTTGTGTATATTAATACGAGATTTGGTCATAGACTAGTATAGTCGACAGTTACCGTTTTCTATCCGGAGAACCGTTAGCTTATTTGTCATTTCATTTATTACTACGAAAGTAATAGATAATCGTTACTTCTACTTTATGAGTATCTATAATTGGAAGACATCTAAAAAATTTTGTATTTTTAACTATCATCATCATCATCATTTCAGCTATTAAACGTCCACTGTTGAACATAAGCGTTTCTCATACAGAGAGTTTTGCTAACAGTTGATACACTTGGCAGGTAGGTTGGCAACCGTACTTAGGCTTTTAGAGATATTTTAACAGGGACGCTACTGCCCATCCCTCTACCATTAAGTTCCTTTAGTTGCCTTTTACGACACTCACAGAAAAGGAAAGGATAGGCCTATTCTATGCTAGGGCTACACGGCCTACCAACTTTATTGACATTGATATATTAACAGTTTTATTGTAATAAATATAACAATGTGTTATATTCATATATTTATTACATTACATTCAACAAGCATACCTAATCCAACTAATAATTAAAAGTAAGGTAGCTCATTTGATAACAGGGTCACATTTGTAATAGTGTGCTGTGAAGTCTATCAGTATATTTTTCCTTTTAGAAAAGATAATGTTGTTCATTTTACAGTAGATAGATACCTAATAAAATTAATAAAATATCTTTCATGTGAGTGTTAATAGCCTCAAGGGAATACATGAAGGCAAAGTTGCGAAGGCTTTTCATACAACTACAATGGATTACGTCCCCTCCGGTGATACCGCTCACAGTTTCTTTGACCTCTATCTAGACTAATGGCGCGTTAGTATAGTTATTTCGGTGTATAGTTTATAAATATCTACAGAAAACAGATATCCCAAATTTATATTTATTGAGTTGTTTTTAACCGATTCAAAAAAAAATTGGACGTTCACACTTCAACTTTATTTTTTATCTATTCAATTAACCATATGTCTTTATAAATTCTGAACTAATTTCGGTTATTTTTTTGAAACTGACGGTTATTTTTTAATTTTTTTTTAATTTATTTTAACTTTAATGCACAGTAACATTCTATGTACATTTGGCGAACTTAATACTAGACGGTGTTCTCTACCAGTCAACTATTGGGCAAACCGAGAAATAAGTGGGCGGTGCATTATTGAATAGAGGAAAAATAATGCAATAGTTAATACTCATATATACCTTGACCCTATTCTAATTTTTTTTTGTATATATTAGTCACGGAAATATATTAAAATTTATAGATAGTCATACTTGTACTATTATGTAATTCATTTTTATAAAATTGTCTAAATATTATAAGAATACTCCTTTTTGATCATCATCATCATGTCAGTCGTTAATGCATGCATGCATAATGGGGATTTCGCCATGCTTAGCAAGCGTATTAACAACCACACCTTTGGTGATGTTTTAAAAAAGACGCTGTTGTTCCCTGTATCTGCATCCCTCAAGCTTTAAATGTCCTTAGTCACCTTTTCCAACACTCACGAGAAAAGAAGGGGTGGCCTATTCTATAGCGGAACCACGCAGCTTTCTGTTTATAAATGGGATTAATCAATTTCAGATTAAAACTTAACAACAGAAGATGGCAAAATGTTTAAAAATTATAAGATAATTTATTTATATTTTTGGAAAACTACATAGTAAAAGTAAACGAAGACGGAAAGCGGTTTTAATTTTTTTAGGAAAACAAATATGATATTTCATTAAATGATTGCTCAAGAAATTTTAATAAGACAAAAAGTACCAATTGGCTGTTAATACATCCGTAACAGCTATCAAATAATAAATATATTGAGTAATGTAAGTAATAGTAAACAAGAATAAAAATAAAAGTAATAAGAATAAAAATGTTATGAAATAAATATACATACATCCTTATAAATGTATGAGTTTGTTTCTTTCCTTTCGGCGTCTTAATGGTTCAAATGTTATGAAATATGGTTTACACAAATGTTTCGAAAAAAAGAGAAACTATTTTTATCCTGGTAAATCAATATAACCTTGTTATGTAGACGAAATTGTGGGTTACTTCATTCTTGATATAATCTTTTTTATATAATATATTTATATAACAATTTTTTTTATTATAGGTAGCATGTTTAATTATAAATAGCACTTCTTATTGTACGCACACTGCTCACTGGTAATTAATGCTCCTTTCCACTCAGGGTTTGCTTGAAGAGAACTCTTGCAGAGTTAGGCTCGCTTATTACACATCCTTATTCAAAATAAATTATTATAATGTAATTTTGTGTAAAATAAAGTATAAATAAATAAATATATGCTTGTTCTAAAAATAAAGGTGTTTCATTTATTGAAAACTTCATTGTCATTCAGTGTCTACCAATAAAGATTGTACCAAAATACATTTGCCCTTGCGTAGTTAACTTTCGTAAAAAGTTATCCAATAAGTGTACTTTCGTAAAGTCTAAAAGTCTATATAAGTGTAATTTCCATTTTCGGATCACCAATATATATCCTAAAAACAAATTTCATTTTTGGGTGAATATCTGTCTTCGGTGTCTATCAATACTATGATAGGCATTTAGCTTTTGAATAAATGAGACATGAACTTATTTAAGAACCGCCCACATGGGAGAAATGCTTGTAAGTAAGAGAGATTTATTTCGTAGATAAATAAGTAAATGAATATTATTCTTCTTAAATATTAAAAAAGTTTCACTTCTTCTCGGCAGATAGCTATTTAAATCTAACAGTAGGGTTAAAGAGCTAATGCCCAAATCCATTTAAATAAGGATGATTTATTGTTACGCATGTATATTATAGAGAGAGATCTATATAGTTCCGTAGATGCCATCTGTTATAGGCAATAAAAGTCACAACGTAACTTTTGGCTTTTGACGTATATATGAAGTAGCGGTTAGACAGCTAAGTGAGGCGATAGGAGATTGCCACCGGGAAATGAGGTCACAGGCGGTAGATATCGGCGATTTAGGGCACATCATAGGATACGTCACGATAAAGATAATCATACTTTTATCGCGTGATAATCCTGTAACGTCCATTTAGGACACTTATTACAATATTGACAGGACATTTCATTATAAGTAATGCCATCATTTTACTAGGTGGATTTATTATATGATAGTAGCTTCGTTGTAGATAAAAAAAATATTAGCTAGAAAATGGCTTAAAATTGGTATAATATTATTTTTCTATATAAAATGTTTATATATAAATAAAGGATATTCTTTGGGTCTAAATAGATGCGGATATCCTCCCTCCTTTCCTTAAATATGCTTTTATAGAGAATAAGTACAAGTTGATAACACGAAGTCAAGTAAGTCTTTTTTTACGAAAACGGGATATACTAGTAATTATTGATGTAATTTGATACCATTTAATTACTGTTGAAATTATTGCTATATAATTATGTACAGTTTCCATAAGAGTTCTTATTAATTATTTCTTAATAAGTTTTTAAATTCTTTATGTTAACTTTGTCTTTTTTTTCTACTCTCTGTTCCTCCATAAAACTGCGATATGTGATATCAGGTAACAAGTAGCCTTCTTCATTTTATATAGTACGTGTAGACAAAGTTTTAATAATGATTGGCCAAACCATTAATGCGCTATAAGGTAACAAAAAAAAAAACATAATCACTTTTATAGTATTAGTAAGAATATCTGCGATAGATATCAGTTTTGTATGCTAAGTAGTTTTTGAAATTTCGTGATTAGTTATCAATGGGTTTTGCGAGCTTATCTAAAGCTTTTATGTAGATGATACAAATTATATCGGTGTTATGTGGTTTTTTTATAGCACTAAGGTGGCAAACAAGCATACGGCCCACCTGATGGTAAGTGGTTACCATAGCCTATGAACACCTGCAATATCAGAGGTATTACGCGTGCGTTGCCGACCCTGAAGAAACCTCTTTACCCCCCTTTGGAAGAACCCCATGCATTCTCCATGTAGTCTCTTGGGAAAACCTCGGCAGGGAGCTCATTCCACAACCCGAGTGTTCGTAGGAGGAAACATGGTCAAGATTGGCACCAAATAGGAATTTTGTGTTTTAAATTATTATAATGCTCCTTCAGAATAGGTACATATCTACGTATTAATTGAAATGCTCATGGAAATTTGATAGCATTCATTTGTATAATATGAAAGTAACAGTTATTTATTTATTGAAAACTTTATTGACCAATAATATGTGATACAAAAGGTGAACTTAATGCTATAGGCATTCTCTACCAGTCAACATTTACGATGTCCAGAAATACTCGATATCAGTTAAAAAAAAAAAAAAATATTGTCTCTATTTTAGTTCAGTTATTAAAGCAACAAAGCTTTTAAAAGTGAACTGCAATAAACACTTTGTTTTTTGTAATAAGTAAATGCGTACCCATTACCTTAAATTGTTTCAACTTTTCGCTTTTATCTTATTTTTTGTATTTCTCGCACTGTTTAAATAGTAATTTGTCTTCTCAAGTGTCTGTCATTTAGACGAAGGTCTACTTTTTACCACTGCTACACTTGGGCGTACGAAATGGTTATAAATATATTTCAGTTTGAGGAAAAAAGAGGTTTTTCAACCAACTTAAAAAAAGAAGGTTCTCAATTAAGTTGTATTTTTTATGTTTGTTACCTCATTACTCCGTCAGTTATAAACCGATTTGGAAAAATATTTTTTTAACTGAAAGGTTATTTATATTATATTACTTATTTACTTACAGATTGGTCCCATAGAAATATTATCACAATTATGTAAGTATCTACAATAGTTCATCAGGGTTTAGATCAAAATAACTGGTTTTATCACAATTGAATTTTGTTTTTTTTTTAGCACAATCCTTAATTATATATGTTAGGTATAGAATAATTTGACATATTTCAATGTCTATTAAAGTAGTATTCGTATATTAAATGTTTTTAATTGTAGTACACACTTCATTTAATTTAGATATCATACTATTCAATCATATAT